TCGAACGCTTCTACAGCATAACTACATGTCTGTGTCCCTTTGCTATAATGGGAACAAAATAGTGAAAATCAATTGATAAGTTTGTAGCCAATAACGAATCATACGTTTACCTACTTTTGTCTCTACTAACACTGTTAGCACCAGCACTTACTTTCTTACCTAAATAACGAGCTTACTTTCCTTTTTTTTTTTTATCCTTTCGCTCATGTATGTAGTTGGCAAACACGCTGATAAGATCTGGCCACTGCAGCTTCACTCCCACAAACCACAAACAAAGCCACTTCTAATAACGTTCATTGGTCTTATCTCGACCATTGAAAGGAGACGCGGATTTGTGGCCTTATGCAACCTCAACTCTGCTAACATCAAACCGCTAAAATCTAAGACCGACACAGTGGTTTCGTCTAAAGAAATGCGGGACTCAGGGCTGAGGGTCTGTCTGCGCTTACAGCGCATGCTAGGTAGCACGAGCAGGATTGCTTAAAACTAATCAAGGAAACATTCAAACAGCAGGTTTGGTTTACGCCGTATCGCTTGGCAGAAACAAACCTCAAGTGTGCGTTTGTGTACAGGGTAGTGTTTTCAACGTCAGTGGCCTTACAGATTAGAGCAAGATAAACAAATAGACAGATAGGCAAGAGCAGCGAGATAGAAAGAGTTGGGGGACGGACATACCTCATCGCCATCTTTGAAATGATTAAAACTGAATAAGTTCCATATTTAGCTAGGAAAGAAACGAACGTACTGGCGGAACGTACGCGCTGAACTCACGGAACACCTTTCCACCACTGCGAGGGTCCTCAGCAGAAAGGCAACGTGTCTGTCTGCTCGCTGATTCGGTAGGCTCGGTAGCTACGCCGCACACAGCATATCAGCGCTTGGCCCTTTGAGTAGAGCTCGTTGAACACGAAGAGATTCAGAGAACAAACATTGAATAGCAAATAGTGAACCTGCCTAAACCCTTCAGTGCGGCTCTCTACCACAGGCAGACAAGCGAGTTAAAAGCGAGTCAAGAATATGGAACATCATTAAGGAAACATGCACTGCCCGCTTTTTTTTTCCTAACTATTCCCTTTTATTCGATAGTAGGTAAGACATTCTCGATCGATTTAAGTTTGTTCTTCATTTCTATGTTATGTATGAACTGCGGAATTTATGTCAAGATGTCGCCAAGAGCTAATTGTGTGAACGAAATGTACGTCAGTCCTGAAAAAGACCAGCTTCGTAAAAATATGAGAGCATAAAAAAACACTACTTTTCGTGACGTATGTCGTGTAGTATGCTGATGGCGGGATCAGAACTGTGAGAACATCTTGTTCTGTTTTCGACGCCTTCTTCTTGGAAAGCCCATCATTAATGATGACGGAGTTTTTCTAAGGAAAGCCGTTCAGTGGCACCGCTTGTTGTGTCTGCTTTGTTTCACGACATTTTTTGAGGCGGGGTTAAAAATTGCTTTAAAATCTGCAGGACATTTTGCAGTAGAATGATTTAACGTGGACGTCTTGCAGGCCTTAATTATTGACTTACCAGATTGAAGTCCACTTAGTAGCTCTAGATAGATATATTTTTACTATCTGACAAAGGCTTATAGGTGCAAGTCCTGTTTTCGATTCCTCTTCAAAATTTCTAATAATTTTGGCTTTTTTTAATTTGAAAAATTGCAATCATTATGCATTTTTCGCAAAGTCTTCCCGAAAATAAGCATGCGTTAATATAGGCCGGCGAACAGTGTGGTGATGACACCGTTTCTTAGAACAACCATGCGATTGTTTCATATCCAGTCTGGTCCGGATGTTTTTAAATTTGGCAGCTTGAGACTGACTTTGCAGAAGGCTGTAACTCGCTTGAGGTAATCAGACTATCGGCAATGGAATCAGTACTCCTTGTATATTTTTTTGCAAGTCAGCTTAGAGGATCTTTAGACGGACATTTTCGAGGTTTTCCTCCTTTTTAAACGAGCCATTGCGTTTGTTAAATTTGGACGCAAGCAGCTTAACTTACCTACTACAGTGCTATTTAAGATTATTATGAATATTAACTTTGCTTTATAATCTATAGACATAGAGATGAGGATTTTCGAAACTCTACAATTGAGTCGCACTATAAAGTTATAGCAATGCGTTTTGTCAAGTTCGCAGGGTTCTCATATTAGCTATTACAAAAAGCTGCAATGTAAACCTGAGGGGTTAGTTGTAAATTTTTCTTGAATAACACAAGATCTTGCATTATGCCAGTATTCTATTTTTTTCCCTATGCTTATAATGACCTTTTCTGCCTAGTTTTTTCCTCATGCATTTGTCAGCAACTACCGGTGCTTATTTTTTTACCCTGGAATACAAATTAGCAGAGGTTACTGCCTTCGGGATGAGGAATAACGGACCATTAAAAGCACCGTTTAAAATAGCACATTTTTATCTCAAATTATCAATGGTACCGCTACGTTTCGTATACGTACCAACTGTAAAAACAGTAACGTGTGTGTCAACTCGATTCCATAAAAGCATTGTGATCACTACGAAATAGCTGCCATCTCTGCAGCAAAAATTTTCAGGTTTTTCCCTGATTTTACATGCTATATCGTTACATGCACATGCAATGAACCTAACTTTACAAAATACAATAGTGCTGGTTCACCAAAATCGCAGCTTGTATTATATTAAAGAAATTTTGACGTTTATCTACAAATCCATTGTTATTAAAAGTCGTTAACATATTGAGAAAAAAAGCTTGTACGCTCGGCGCTAGCTTCTTTGTCTGTCGCAGTTGTAGACCGAAAACACCCTGAGATCAATTCTGGATTCAATTTGGAGCTTTGTAGATGGTTTTCACACGTGTAGAAGCAAAGCAGACCCCATAAATTTGTTTATACGCTTCACGTGCGCTGGAAGCCAAATATACACCAAAGCCAATCACCGCGACCGTCTTGTTCACCTGTGATAGGTAGCCTGGCTTTTATAATTATTCGGCCTTCGAAACTGGAGGTATGGTCCTATGTAAACTCGAGCTAGCACGCAGATAAACTGCATTGAATATGCGCTCGACTTCAATGGTTGCATATATGTATATATATGAAAATACACGTGTGCATACGCGTATTTGCGTCCATATGTTCCGCGGGCGCCCTGGAAAAAGGTTCTAACCTATAGACGGCTTTGATGCATTGATGTGAAGGCGAAAGCGTCGCAGGACAAAACTTTTGCTACCTGACAATTGACGATGGAAAAATGATGCTGAGACGATGTGTTTGATTTTTTCCGCGTATCCATAGGATTGCTTCCGGATGGTGATTACAAATGCATGTTAGAGGTTTCAGGCCGACTGGCGAGGGAGTAGGTTAGGTTCACTGTTATAATCATAGCATTGGTTGCTTACTTACAGTATTTTTGTACTTTTTATTATGGTTAAGGCTGGCTTTACCATGACACCTTATTGCACAGATAACCTGATTACATTGTGAACTTTTACTACCTTATTTCTGTTCTTCGCGCCCCTCGAGATAAATGATTTTCTAACTCTCAGATTAACTAACTCAGATTAAGATAATCTGTTAATACTGGCGTAGAAACCATAACTAAAAATTTGTGATCTGTTTTGCTTTCGTATCATTTTGTCGCCTAGAAAGGCCAGTAAAGGACATTTTTCTCTAAATCCTGTGCTAGATAATACAATATTATAGTTAGTATGCACTGCTTATAATACAATCACCATACCGAGACGAGCGATCCTCTATGTATGTATGTATGTTAGTTGTGATAGTCCTGTTGCCTGTAAATGAACCGTCCTTGCGTAACGGAATTGCTGCTCGACTCCTTTTTAAATGGAGAAAACGATAGAGGACATATTCAGCATTACACAAATGTTATGTTATCCTCCAGTCCTCTGGTCTTGTCGCTGCAATAAACGGCAGATGAGATTTTGTTAACATTTTAAAGGTCCGATAAACTTATTGAACTTTGTTGACAATAGAAGGAGACCGTTTACTGGATGTTTAAGGTCTGTTTTAACTTAAATGCTTCTTTCGCATCCAGGCACTTCTTGATTCCTGTCGCTGTGTTTACGAATGGAATGCTGTGCAGTGAAGAAGTTATTTTTATATAAGCTACTAATTTTATTCCACAACTAAAAATATAAAAAGTAAAACTTCTGAAAGTTAGCCCAGTTAGAACAATGCGTCATCTATTCGTCACGGTTGATGTAAGGTTGTATCTCATCGTGACCAATGATTCAGATTTCAGTTTACACATAAACTATAATACAAGCAGGTGGGTTTCATTGTCGCATATATCTGTAATACGATGCGAGGTTTTGGCATGGGTTTGATAGTCCGAGTGTCTATAGGCACTTGGCTGTACATTCTAAATTTATTACATTATCGGAGCCATAGTATTCAAAAGCGGGCATTCTTGCTCCAAAGCTATGCAGATGACCCATACGAGCCACCCTCAATCAGTGTCAATTCGACTATCGGCCTCTTTCTCCCGGCGTGCAGAGTCAGTGAGGGACGGTAGTAGAATTTTACGCGCAGAGAACTTTACGAATAAATTAACAATATATCTACGCAAAAGTAAGTAAAAATTATCCGACTGTCAGATATAATTTGAAGTGCTAATTCAACACAACTAAATAAACTAAGAACATACAACATATGGACATTAATTTGACTGGATAATACGGAAAGAACCGCACAGCTTGAAGCGACAAATTCAGATTATACGAGGTTATATATATATATATATATATGTTGAAATAAACATATCGGAATATTAGCTGTATGTTTTGATTGTTTCTATATTAATAGTCCTCATTAGGATCTCAGCCGAAATCCTGCTCGTCACTTTCGATGCAATGCTGACACAGCAATAACCTTCATCGATGTTTAGGCAAGCAAGACCTTATGAACCGCTTTTTAGGATGCTATGCTTGTTGAGAAACGAGTAAAACTGGTTTGATTGACAAAAAAAAGTTTGCCTTTCGTTAATAGATATTATACGCTTTCTTAGCAGGCGTGCAGGACAATGCGGCCGAAGAAGAATCTGGCTGGTTACTCTTCCAAGCAGCGTCTTATAGGCTTATGCCTGACCTTACTCCAGCGATCAGTATCAGCGTTTCGTCATTACATTCAGCCATTGAAGCTATTTCCGGAACACGATGTAACTCGGCTCGGAGAAAGAGAGGTGCGAAACTTTCTGGAAGGCATCGTGACTAGAAAACAGCACACATCATATGTATTACTAATAATATATAACCAAGATAACTCAATAATATAAAACTTTTTTATATTAGGTAGATAACGAAAATCAACAAAAAAAGTAGTAAGTTAGTCTTACTTTGCAGATTATTGTTTAGGGTTACAGACTTAACAGATGACCACCAACCAATACAGGTACGGGCTTTTGCCTCCACAGCTTTTTATAAGATTGAATGTAGTTGAATCTTTGAGCAAAATTTAATAGACCTTATTTTCATATCATTTCACATACTTGTCATTCTACGATGTTAAATATCAATTGGCAATTATCTTGCCAACTGGTGTCAGCTCCCTTCAAAAATCAATAGGTAAATTCTTAGGTAGGTGATCAATATATTATTTCTCTGATTTCAGAAAAACTCTTAAACAGGTACTCCTTCTAATGTTAACCACTATTGTAAATGATCATTTCATCTACAGGACACGCTTATATGTTATGTAGGGCGGTTCGATTTGTCTGCGCGTAAGCTCGCTGCCTGCCTTTGTTTCTCCCAGCCAGCCTATTCTGTGTGGCTGGATGTTTTCCATCTTAATCGGCTTACCATTGCTGACAAAATAACAAAATACGAAACTCGAATAATAGGAAAAGTTAAACAGACGGGGCGAATGGCACTTTCTGAAGTACAAGTATTAATGCGGGAAAGTTTTTAGTTCGCATTGGAAGACAGGCTGAAGAACAGGACTAGATTTGAAAATCATACGAATATTACTCATAAAAGCGTTATTTTTTTTTAGCGAAATTTAGATAGGCTGTACTATTTCAAGTGCCTTCGATAGTTTTCCATTTCGGTTTCGAGTTAGAAGCCGTTTTGAGCGTCGTCGAAAAAAGGGAGCATTCCAAAAGTATTACGCCCATGGATAAGCGTTACTAAGACCACAAACATGGCTAACCTGGCGCGATGACTAAGGTGGTTCCGGTCTAATGACCCAGTAGCGCCCAATCAATTTGTAGTTTACTTTACAGGGCCGGGCCAGTAAAGTAACGTGAGTGCTGATCTCGGTGCAATAAAATCTATCCATCGAAATCGGTTTCGGCCCACGCTAAATTCTGCTCAACTCAAACGAACTACTTGAAGACGTTTAGGACATGAATATGTTTCGACATTTGGCAAAAATTTCTTAATAGGGTTGAAAGGCAATAGGGCGGTTCGTTAGTAGGCGTCTCTATATCGTTAGCGGAATGGTAATTTGATTGGTAAAGCTATCGAATATTGACAAAACTGGCCATCGGAACGGTATTACTGATTCAATTCCCGTACACCAAACATAAAATCTCTTGGCATCGTTCCTGAGCCAATACTGTTAATGTTGACTGAAAAAGGCCCATGTATCGTTCACTAAAAAATAATGGGTTTCATTTTGAAACGAAATTACGTAGGATGTATACAAACGTATCGCATATACGTATGTAGGCAAAAAAAAAAAAAATCATAGCCATTTTGTTTTTTTTTACTTGTTTGATGTATTAAGTTTGCTTTTTACTTGTGGGATGTATTAAGTAGCCAAACAATTCAAACTGATCACATTCCCTATTTTTCAGAAAAAATAAGACACCTATTTCCTCAAAAAATTATTGGAAATGCGCACCGTCATTCTCTCTGACCCTAAAGCCAAAGATGTAGCTGCTTTGCATAAAATTGTTAATAACACGTAAGTCAGGTGGAAACATAAACGAGATCGGCCTTCAACACATTACGAGCTCACAATAAAAGGTTATCGAAACCAACTTCATACCAATATTTCTTTATCCCGTTATCTGCTCTCCAAACATTGTAAATCTGCGTATCGCCTGTCTACCCTAATCGACCTATACGTGTCAATATCGTGTACGTAAATTTTCCACCGGAGACCAGCCGTGGTAGCTGGATGATCTCTTTGGAACGTTGGGCAACATCTTGCGTCTAACAGTTTCGGGGGTGCTTTCAGATCCAAGGGGATCCCATGACTAAAAACATATTGTCCTATGGCTGTTCTGGACCACATAGTGGCATTTTCTTTGGGCCATTTGGCCCCCTCGACAGAACGCCTGTGGTGCACCGCCGTGTAATACACTGTACTCCCACCCGTTCATACAAACAGACAAACTGCGTGAGCATTAAAAAGGGATTTGTCTTCTGTAGTTGTACACAACAGCAACTAGACTAAGCCAAGCAACGATGCGTCCCCTCTTTGCGTGGCCTATTCTCAAAAAGACATATCGGCCGGCCTTACGCTTTACTTAAAATGACAGGAAAGGTTAAGTAGGCTACACAGTTCGTGGGATAAACAAGTACTTCTAGTATTTCTTAAGCTGGTTCTCACCGATGTAGTTCTCTATGAAAACGTGAGCCGAGAGAGCTATCGACCATATCTCTGCCACACCATGTGTCCCAGATCAAAGTAAGGAAACTCGCCATAGAAACGACAATGAATGACGGCATGAGTGTCTATGTGAGAAAACGTACCTAGCTCCGAAAAAAATAAGTAAATATAGATGCCTGCATTGCAACGTAAGTTCTTTGACTGAGGAGTACAGATGTTAATGAACAGAATCACAGATACACAATAACTGCTTACTTTTACGTGCGAACGTCTAGGGGCATGAACTTATCACTCACACACGACCGCCAGCAAATATTCGTTTTGGGCGCGATCCGACACTATTATTTTTTTAATTACATTTCAAGCAAGTGCAGACCTGAATACGGCCTGATCTCAAATTTTGAACTCGTTACATCTGTTTTGTCACCTGTTTATATTACCGACGTTATTCTAAGCAGCCTTGCTATGGCATATCGGTTTTATCAATACGATTCTATTCTATCCTAATACTGTTCAAATAAGTCTGCACCAATATTCGACGAATTCCGTTACGTTAGTACGCTAGCTAAGAGCTTAATTTAAAAATTCTTTCGCATTCCTTCAGTAACTTTGTGACTTAGATTTTATTGTTCCGTTACCCTATGATTCCGTGACTCTGTACTCTGTGCTCCCACTGTAATTAAGCCATCGCTATACAACACTTAACGTTTGCTTTAATCCTGCTGTTTTGAAATGAAATTGACCTCCATCTTTGAATTTCGATATAAATTTTAAGTAGTAGCAGAAGATGAAGCGACGAAGAAGCCAAGAACTCTGGATTATTCAAGCAGAACAGCGCACGGAACGCTGGCGGAAATATTTTCTAATCTTCACTCATTACTACCAGTACAAATATGGCATGCTGACCCTGAACTACACGACGTAGCATTTGTTCGTCGATTTTTCTCGTCTGATCTATCTTTAAGGGCTTTTTAAAGCCAATGTCAGGCTCGAGGTGGCGATGCTTCCTAGAAAAACGCTACTGCTGCGGCAGCAGGCACCATCTCTACTTCGGCTTCTGTTGGGCGCTTCTGATGGAATACTTCTTAGCAGCGTACCCGCCAGCTTCGTCCACGTTATACTAGAATACACCGACGACAAACTAGACGAACAGACACGCAGTCATACCCACGCAATCGTCCGTTCGTTTCTTGGCTACAGAGCTGCAAGCAGTTTCCTTGATCGTATTCTTCGTCAAAAAGCAGCTTCCAAAATCTATCATCTCTTCTTTTTTATTGACCACAATACCATTGTATTTCTTCAACCGCTGTAGTGTCCTATAACTACTGAATTGCGCCTGTGTAAAAGCCTTACTCAGGCTTACTTTCGGAGCTAGCCGCACAAAGTCATTTGGCGGCTCTGTAGTAGAGTTCGGTAACCTTTTAGGTATATAATCACTGGCAAATTATTCTTGTATTAGAAAACTCACACATTGTTGAACTTCGTCAATTCCATCTGTTGATCAAATCTGTCTGCGTGTACCCAAACCCTGGGGTGTACCAAAACTGGGGCTCGACAGTTGGAACCACCATGCGCAACTTAGGTATTTACTATCATCATTTTACGTTCATGAAGAGAGCTATAGCATAGCAACTATCGCTACTGTCAACTATTCGATGACGACGATGTTGCTGTGACCACAAATTTCAATGATCTTCGAACTTCCGTATCTGTATATGCAGTCGTAATCGAAAATATCTTACCGAAGAGTATTGGATTCTAATGGCTAAACTTAGAGGAAAAAGAAAAACAGCTGCGCACAGAATTGGCTAAGTAGGTCGAAGTATTGAAGCCGACATTATATCCTAAAAGGTGAAGAACGAGATGCCTTTGTTATTAGGAAACAAAGTTCGCAAACGATCCACCACGCAAAAACGGAGGTAGGATTATTCTAAGCAGGCTATAAAAGAACCGATCTGTAATGATTTTATAGGTGCATTAGAGGGTGACAGAGCGCGCAATTACTGTGCCTAGAGGAGTCCTCCAACGTCGAATCGAAACGAGTGGTTTCAGCTCTCGTGAAGCGGACAAAAAGCTTCAGCTAAGCTCTAAAGTATATGCGTTCCAGATGATCTAAATCGTTCCAAGACTGGAAGGCTGCAGGGTGGGAAATTGTTTGTCTTTCAGACGGCCTAGAAGTTCAGCGGGTTTAGATGTGGTCGAAAACGTATGGCATTACGTCAAAGGCCGAGTCAAGACCGAACAGGAAGATTATGAACATTTTCCGACTCAGGAATATAGTGCTTCATGTATGGGACAAATACCCTGATGTGTTGGAGATGATTCACTGCCAGACTTAATTGCAGCCAGGGGGCGAGACTATAGAGGACTAGCTTCAGCACATGCTTTTCCTTCAACCGTAGTCGAAAATGCTTTTTGACGACGGTGTCGCCGGGCGGCGGCGCTATCGCCACGACAGAGAAAGAAACAACTTGTACATTAAAAAAAAAAGCCACATACACATATTCTGTTCGAGTGTTCGACTGAGCCTTTCGAACTTGTCGACGATCTCCTTAGGACCCTTTTCAAATAAGATATTGTTAAATGAGTGCACACCCCCTAACGAAGTGGTCACTGCATACCTCG